ACACACACACACACACACACACACACACACACACACACACACACACAAGAAAGGACAGAAAACATGTTACTTCAAGATTTCGAGGCAACGCAGCGAGTAACTGATACAATGCTCTACCTGGTGAGCTGCCACGGCGCCACATTTAACGGATAACATTTTAGTTTAAGTTGTGTGTGTATCTGAAAGAATAACCCCGGATATCAAAGCAGTGAGACAGACAGGCCATCAGAGGGACAAAGAGAGTCAGAAACACTGTGTCCATGCTGATGAACCTCAGTCTGATTATTATTTTGTCGTTTCCTGTTTGACGTGCACTCACATCTACATGTTTCCTGCATTACAATAACTATTGAGCTGACTGAAGGACATCATTTCAAAAGCCTTCATCCCTTAAAACCAACAAATGTTTCAAAGACGAGCTTTTATTTCCACTTAAGGAGCGTGACATTAGCTCACTGATGATGCAAAGGTTAAGAAGACCCTCTATGAGTGGATGATTTAAATTACAACATGTCAGAAAAGCAACATTTTGATTACCATACATGTAGGTAACAGAGGAGGATGAGCCATTTTCAAGCTTGGCTATAAGGTGCGGGAGCCTCTGAATGAACGAGTCAAGAGTTATTTTAATCACGTTTTATGTAAATACGTTTTAAGTTGTCGAGCAGGATAAATAAGGGTACGACTGATCAGCCAACACTCCCTCAGGGCCGGACAGTAAGCATGAGATGTTGTGTTATACGACAAATATAATTCATATATCTATAATAATGGTTTAACATATCCTCTGGAATGACAATGCTTTGCCCAGATAGCCCAGTTTGCATCATTTTATACTGCCGTGTTAATTCAAAGGCAGAATCTAATAACAGAAACTGTAATAGCAGCACTAATCAAACACCTTTGTTGGAGAATACATGACCGAATTCCTTTTCCTGCTGTGACCGTGTGAAGTGGGTTGACTAATACTAGTCAAGGAAAAGGAAAGGCTTAAAGTTAAGACTTAGAATTACAGCCTCGCCGTGTTGCAGTTCATGCAGTTCATTCAGTTCATGCATGCATGTCCTGAATGTCACAACTCCGCCAGGCGATCGGCTGTCGCTCAGGAGGGTTCGGCTGTAATCACCGGGGCCGAGACGTCACCAGCAGGTAAAAACACTAGAAAGAGCCACTTCCATTAATGAAGCACACACGACTCTTACATCTTATTGAACATGTTTGTGAAGCATGTTGTGACACTGATTGTGGAGAGTTTAATCAACATTTGTGAACAGCGAAGGCATTTTAGTCAAACACCACTCAGAAAGCACTAAACATACAATATATCGAGATATAATGATAGTGGTGTGTTTTCATGAGACTGGTTGTAGAGCAGAACTGACACAACTTTGGTTTTACCGAATGTCTACTGAGCCCAGATTAACTTTAACTCTTTTACACTGTATTTCATAAAAGGTGGCTAACATTCAATGTCTTCCCTTGTAACATTTCAGTATAGTTACAATCAATTATTCATATAGTGAAGCAGCTATCATAAGTTGAAAACACAGGTATGCACTGCTGTGTACTCCTGAGAAGTTGGGATGTACATTTGAATATTTTTGTTCGTCATGAAATTTGGAAAACCCTTTGGGGACGATAACCGTCACCAAGCTGACTAGTGCTGCCTTCACCAGGAATGAGGAGGCTCCAAACAGGGTGAGCGTGTCTGAAACTCTGGGTGGAGTAGTCCGTCAGTACAATTGGGAAACTACAGTGATGTGTAACGAAGGCTTCCTCGCGACGTGCTTCAAAAGACTTCACCTCTCGTAAAGTCATTGTTTCTCTCATCTGGGCCACAAAACAGGAAGTAAACAAGAGCTACTGGATACCAGAAGATTTTTATAAACTATCTGGAAACTTCCTACTTCTTGAAAACCCTTTTCTCACTTTAGTCTCCTGCTTATACGTTTATTTTAAAGAGGTGTAGAATACTCTAATGGAGATTAAAAAAGGAGTTGGAAAGAGATGGAAATGGTCTCAGTGGAGATGTAATCAGAGTAAATCTGCTTAATAAACACAAGCAAACACCTTTATCTATTAATCTGCCTATTTATATATTTTGACTCATCTTTTAGTCTCTGAAATATGAATAATAAACAATGCCGACTCTCTGAAACAGCCCAGACGAATGCATGTGAAGCGAGACTACAACCTCCACAGCCTCAGCATGGACGCCGACATTTAAACTGGAATGCTGCCGGTCATTTAACGCATCTTAGGTGAACACTCCCAATCATAAACAAGCTCTCCGCCATCCGGAAACTCAACGTCCTTTCTGTTGCACCCCACCACCCAGCAGCCCGTCCTCCTCCATTGCTGCATCTGCTACTTCCCCACACTCACAGTCACCAACAGGAACAAACTCCTCCACACCACGAACACACACACGGCCAGTAAATCAACTTCCAAACCTCACAGATGTGAACGCACCGGTCGCTCACATCCAGATCACTCAATGTCTGACAGTAATTATAGATCATCGAGGTTTTCAAAGACAATTCGTGCTTTCTTTCCACAATGAGTGGAAATTGGGTAAGACTTGAAAGTTTCCAATTGCTTTGGTAGCGATACCAAAATGATGTATAAACATGTTTCTCTATAAAACACTTCCTTTATCATAACAAGATAAGATTTCTCAAATGTCAAATGTCTATAATTGGCAACATTTTGATTGAATTAAAATCAGGAAATATCCGGCCATAACAATGACCCTAAACATTCTGTCCAAGTCAAAAAAAATAAATTCAGGGACTTTGTTTACTGAAATGCAGATGTGTCTAAACCCATGTATGATAAACAGAGTTACTCAACAAAAAGATGTTGTACCTTAATATACGTTTATGCTTTAAAAATAGGAAGACCAAGACTGTAGATTTGAAGGCAAGCTTGGAAAAGCAGTGGAGGAGACAGTGACCGGAAAGAGCGCTGATGGAAAAAGTGAAAGAAAGAAATGAGCCACGATGAGTTCACTCTGAAAGGTGACGAGGTGAGAGCAGAGTTGAAACGTAAGCGTGGAAGCTCACTGACATTTTCTAAAAGGCTGCAGTAGAAGCATTCACAGAGCGGGACAATAACCTGCAATGTGATCCACACGATCATCACAGTCTACATACTGGAAGAAGTAGATGTAACAGGAAAATAGAGACAGAAAGTAAGAAATACACAACAGACATATTATGGCTTCCATGTTTAAAGGAACATTTAGGGAGATTAATATGCTGCAGTGGAATACACTATTCATAACTATGTTTTAGAGGCCACTGTGCAGAGGTGAACCAGGTGAAGTGAATTATACTCAAGTTGACGGAAACTACGCTTGTTACTGTACGTGCAGTAAAATATGTGAGGGTAAAAAGCCGAAACTTTATCAATACATCTGTGAACATGTAAACAAAAGTGAAACCTAATTCAATCGGCCACCGCTGTTTACACAAAGCATGCACAATCGGCCAAAAGCTCTTTTTTTTGTAAACTTCTCAGCTGGCTGAGACAAAGCAGCCAGGAGGACAGAAGAATTCAGATCGTAGCACTTCTGATACAGCACCTTTACTCTGGCTCCAGGTATTATGATCATTATTAATTACCTACTAAGGCACTTGATGACAGAAGCCTCAGTGTTGACTATCGTGGGCTTTCAGCTGTCTTCCAAACCAAATTTAAAACTCCAGGAATTAATTGCAGTGACGACTTCCATACAAAAGGTGCGAAAATTGGTAATTTCACTATTTTCACCAGTTTTATTCTGTTTATTTTATTGCGTTTTTATAGTTACCTTCACCCGATTAGCCTTAATGTATTTGAATTAACCTGTGTTCTACTTCTTCTTACTCTCTGTAAAGTATATCATTTTTTGTTTAAACAAGCAACATTTTTGTTCATAATTAGTGTTTGCATTATCTATAAAGTGAGGATTGCGGGGGTCAAACACCAGTGAAACAAAACAAATCAAAAACCTCGTAGGGAGGCCGTATACCTCCCACCTGTTTCACACTCAAACCCACTCATGACCCGTGACTGTGAATGTAAAGCACAACCCTATCATTAGCAGCCAAGACACCTATTAAATACGAAATGATCGAAAAACGTCACAGACGCCATCATGCAGCTGCCATTTATCCTTCATTATATGCGTCACACAAACACACACGGCCTCTAAATGTTCAAGTGAGGTTTAGGATAGACACTGTGATTCAAACACAAAGCCCAAAGACTTTGACTCGTAGAAAGGAACAATTGGCTTCGAATGATGAGACTTGAAAACACTGGAAAGCAATCATCTTTGACATCTTAATGCACATCTTGCTTCACAGATATTCTGAAATTGCCAGGGTCAACCGTATTCATTCAGTTGGGTGATGGAAAGATGAAATGTCCTTATTACAGACGGTAACATAAAATTTGACCATTAGCGACACGGAAGATTTTAGTTTGACTGTTTTTGTTCTGCCAAATTCTGAAAGCTTGAATTAATCAAAATCACAGAAAAATGTTTAAATGTCTTGTTAATTTGTATTCAAAAGTAAAGCCGAGTGTGAATTATAAATAGGCAACTATCTATAGTAAGTTAAGTCAATGACACAATACTTAGACATCATGTATTTAATATTTACCCGTGAGTCATCGTCACAACCCAAACGGCTCTCTGAAACTCAATTTCCACACCGTTGTCATCACTGAATAATAATAACAGTCATCCGCTACGCAACAAACCTGTTGGGTGCGAGTTGGATAATGTCATTGGTGTTATGACGGCCACACATCCCACCTGCTGCTGCTCGGCAGCTCACAGGCACGAATAAATCACCATAGATTGGCCCCAAAAAGAAGAAGAAGAAAATAAACAATCCTTTGTTTGAAATGAAACAATGAGCGCAATAAAACATGTGGGCTCTAAATTAGAAAATGCTGAGATTCTAACTGAAGCGTGTATCCCTGGGTTTGACACTGTGTGATGCAAGGAAAGAAAGACAGATAGATATTATTTAGGGTTTCACATTTGCTGTTTAGTAACTAATTTATGTGCAGCATCAATGGAATTTAAATCTTAAAGCTAGATTTTGACACTGTTTTGACCCAATATAAAAGGTCCTTATTGTGTCAGTTGATATCATGCTTTAGCTGTGTTGCAAGTTCCCCTCGTCCTCAAAATCATAATTTATCAATTTGCCACACAGTGAGCATGATGAGGCTTCTGGGGGGCCTTGTGGGTCTGCAGCTGGGGGAGATATACAAATGAGGTACAATCCAAGCTACAGTAGATCAAACAGAACATGTGTCTCCATGTTCCTGTCACGTGGTTGCAGGTGCGTCAAGTAAACCACGTGTGCATGGCAAACTGCATCTTCTTAACCATGTTGTTGTTGTTGTTTAATACCATGTGATTAGGTGCACCTTCACTCACCTGCAGCCGCGCATTGTGGAGCATGAATTCTTGCTGCTTTTTAAAGTTTGCATCCATGGATTTAGACAGTAGAAACCCCATGGCGCCGTCACCGTCAACCTACGGGGAACGACACAATTAACGTTAAGCGTTTAGTGGCGCTGTCAATGACTTTACCTGCTCGAGACTAGTAACTTCATGCTAACACCGTCTGACATCTGGTGCTAGCGATACGCAACGTTAGCAAACGACGTTTAACGTTACTTTTTGTGAGTTCAATTGGCTAACGATATGTGCTACATTATACACAACACAGCTGCCCATGCTGCACCCTCGGTTTTAACTTTGAAGGGTAGCTTGGTTAGCTGCAAATGAAAGCTTTACATACCTAGCGAGTATATTTAGAAAGCGGCAGGCTAATTAAAGTAATGACACTCGTCACAAAAGCAGGTCTGACGAGGTTTTCAAGGGCACGCCTCAATGAAAACAGAGCGTGAACACAGCAAACTTCCTGCCAGCCAAATGCCATCAGCGATATAAATAAATACTGTACTTCCGGTCTAACTTTCAAAATAAAACACCAATTTTCCCACCAATCCTAAACAAGAATGATAACATATGTTTTACCCTGCAAAGCATGTTCTTAAGAAATGTAAGAGAGATTTAGATGTACATTGTACCTTTTGCACAGCTCAAGCTGAAACTGTGCCTCATCTTTTTTTTGGCAATGTCAGTACTCATAAAAGTTATGGGAAAATGTCTAAAAATGTATTAGCGATGTTTTGTGCAAAGATTTTTCATTATTCTATGAAGATGTAATATTTGGATTCTTTAACTATGACAGAACATTTGAAGAAAGAGCGTATATCATGAATGTATAGATTATTTTTACCAAATTCTATATTCATAACGTTCACAAGCCAAAGACCCATTTCTTGTGTTTTTTTACAAAGAGTTTGAAATGTATTTAAAAACCCTGAAATGCTGTACAAACAAGAAGACCATAAGAACAGTAATGGCATGCATGGCCTGTGATACATGTTTGTAATTACACAATCAGAGTTTGTGCCTTTAGTGTCCCCTTTTTCTCTTTACATTATTTATTTAGGTTTTTCCTATTTTTCTATTTTTTATTCTCTGCGGTTTTACCCTTGGTTAGTTTAAATGTCTGTATTTTGCCGTTTCTTACTGACAATTTGTGAAATTGTACATGTGCAATTGTTTAATTAAAAACAAACAAACAAGAATGATGATTTCCAAATGTCAAATCTAATATGATAGAGGCATTACAATGACTGTGTACCACCAAAATAAGTCATTGTAAACTCACTATAAAGCAAAGGAATATAATGGTGATTTTTCATCAGGGACAAATCCCATTCGAGATTCAAAGGAATTCATTCCAACCAATTTATTAACAGCTTCTGCTCTGAGTAAGTGGAAAATCTGGGTCTAGAAATATACAGACGAGTCTACACACAGTGCTAGAGAAGTATAGCGTTTGTGTACAGTCCATGGTCCCAGGGTAGCTGCAGTTGAATGAAAATGGCTCCCTCTGTTGGTGTTTGTGTTTGTGGGTCAAAGTCAAAAATTAATTATTTTACACTCAGTGGCTTGTAATGTATTTAGAGTAAATAATAAATAAGTTTTTACCACACGGTCATCATTAAAATAATACATTTTCCCCTACTTTAAAGTAGCTTACGTTACTCTAAATTGAATAATGTTTAGTACGTATGTATAATAGGCTATATAGTTTAGATAGATAGATAGATACAGTAGATAGAAAAAAGTGTAAACTGTCTTATCTAAGATAACACATTTTGTAATGACCAATAGGATCCAGCACAGCATACGATAAGTTAATGGATGAAAGGGTGGACTTTGCACAACAGGGGCCCTTAGAAGGTGAGAGGATACTACAATAACTTTGTGCAAGAGATAACAACCCATGCTGCTTTTTGTTTTGTTCTGCATGCCTCAGTGAACCAGGTCAAGCCACGCTATCTTTTTTCATCAACACATGACAACAGGAACTCCTGGCCAACTTTCATCTTCCTGGACAAATAACACTTGGTTTAGGTTCACAATCAACCTCAAAATAAATTAGTCATGCTGTCAGTGGTGTCTTTTTACATTTCACTTTGTTACCTAGGTTGTAAAGCCCCAGGGGTCTCCAACATGGAGGAAACGGTGGCAAAAAATAAAGTCTTAGTGACAAAAACATTGATAAGATCAGATAACGTATTTCCTTGTACAAAATATAAAGCGTGTGCCAACATGTACATGTGGGAGCTAGTTGGCAAACTGATGGAAAGCCCACAAAATGTACAGTCATATTGTACTCTAGATGGCACAGTGCAACCTCTGCCAGACATAGTGGGACACGGTTTTGGATGCATGTCGCCTCATATGGGAATTCCACCTGGCTGGTATGCCAAAAAAAAAACGTTCATTCAAATCAGCTTTCCCAAATGACGCATGTTGACTTGTGTGAACATGTATCACTTTGTTGTCGGAAGCATCTGCAAATCAACACTGGCTGAAAATTAGTAGTGTCATATCATCAGTGGTGGAAAGAAACTAAGTATATTTACTCAAGTTCTGTGTCCAATTTTGTGGAACTTGTATTTTACTAACTTTTATCTCCATATTCTACCACTTTATACTTCTTCTACGTTACATTTCAGGGGCAAATTAGTAGGCTACTTTATACTTTATACTGTACAGAACATATGGTGAGTTTATAAAATATGGTGCATCTGTACAGATTAAACTGACTAAACCCAGTCTATAAAGCAATTGCAATGTTCTCCACCTCAACCAAATAGGCCTACAACATAATGGTAATCCAGTAATATAATATTTAATAATGTAATTCTGACAGGTGGCACGTTCTGCTGCATAATAAGTATTTTTTCTTTGTGATAAATGCTGAACTTTTACTTGTATCATGTTGACATTACGTGGACAGGCAACAGTTTACCAAAGTATAGTATCTAAATACTACCACGTGTTTTACCAAAGTTTTAACAGTTACAATAAATGTTCAGACTCACACCACTGACAACAATAACATTGACTGGCAACTGTTCAGCGGAATTAACTATTGCTTTGGTACTGTACTGTACACGATACGTCATAGGGAACCGTGAGAGGAAACTGATGACACAGAGACGAATAAAAAAAAATAAATCACACAGAGACAGAAACCAAGAGGGAAAAACACAGAACCGCTACCGGTTCCAGATACATCCTGTCTGACTGAGGAATTCTACTTAATTTAATTTATAAACGTCGAAAACATAAAGTTGCTATATATATTCTTGCGTTGAGGCGCAACAAAAACACACACCTCTGCCTCTTGCTGCGAGTTTAGCGTAAGCATTAGAGCTGTTATATGACTTTATTTTAGGATAAGACAGATAAGAAGTCTGCTGCTCCTTTCCCTTACAGTAACTGCAGTGGTCTATTTCCGTGTACGTTAACGCACATTCCTTGAACTAGTTCTAACATTGGGTAATGTTACACTAAGCTATTTGTTTGTTTGTGATTTTGGGAAATGCAATGGTGTTTACAGTGTGCTTTCTTTCCGCGTTAATTACAATATGGGGACCAGGTGATACCAAATGTTATTGTCAACAAGCTTGAGCCCACAACGTAAACTCATTTAGCAGAGGTTTATGTAGGTCAGGATAATTTAACTGTAGATACTTGGGTCGCTATTACGTTGTGGGCGTGTTTGGGTCGGTATTTCCCTCGTGGACGAGGACTCTTAAAACTCACAGCACTAACCACGGCACATCAGTCCGAGTTGAAGGAAGAAGGAAGCACCGGATGAAAAAAGAGCTGCAGGTAAGAATATATCATTGACTGATAACAACTTTTCAACCTGAATAATAATTATAATAATATACCACTACTACTACTATTACTACTACTACTAATCATGATTATTATTATGTTCATTTTTGTTGCTATTAGCATTATGATCAATATTATTGTTTTTATTATTATTATTATCATTGTTATTGTTATTATTATTATTATTGTTGTTGTTGTTGTTGTTGTTGTTGTTGTTATTATTATTATTATTATTATTATTATTATTATTATTACTATTATTTTCATTTTCTATAATGACTTAATTATCTATCGAGTAATTATTTTTATAATTAACATCTATCTGTTTGTTTTCATAAATATACATTTGTGTTGTGTTTGAAATAGCTCTGTAGCCTGGAGGCCAATACATTTATATTAAATATAGTAAATATGTTCACCACAGGCTTTTTGTAACAAGTGTACTAAGTGCGTAACCTAATAACGTAAATTATGCATAGTGAACCAAACAGCTGGCATAGTTTAATCATCATTGACAGCTCACCCAAATTCAGGCATAACTGTTCTTCAGAACTACAGTTGTCATTTGACATGACATGACTTGACATGACACTGAAACAGAATTTGGTAACATTGCCAGATAAATTTTCTTGACAAAGAGAAAAACAGTTGTGTGTGTGTGTGTGTGAGTGAGTGAGTGTTGACACAGTTCCAGTGTCAGCCAACAGCAGCCTTGATGCTATTCTTTATCAAGAATAAGGAAATAATTAGCTGAGTCATGCTGATATTAGGATTAACATGTATTACTCATCAACATGTGATGTATGTTTTGCTGTGTCTGTTATGTTGTTTGTCAAACTTTAAAGAAGTAAATGAGTTGTGGCTTTGGAATTCATATCTGGCCTTCTCCGATAAAATGACTCTTGTTTCTGAGTAACATGACCAAAAGATTTTAACATCAGTACATCTCCACTTTTGTTTCTTCCTTATAGATCTCAATGGACTGGGCCCTAATTGTAGTTTTGCAAGTCATGTTTCAGCCATCTCTGTCAGGTGCGTAGTAAAAACCTCTTTCAGGTATGTAGTATAAAGTGTCCAGCAGTGGAGACATTAATGAATAAATAAGGACACACATTGCATCTAGTGAGTTTTATTTAATGTTGGTTATTGGTTCAGGGCTGTTTAGCAAATTGACATTAATCCTGACATGAATTTCTTTTATTTTCTTGCAGTGTTGTTCACTGTTGTGGCAGAGCGAACCACGTACGAGTCAACGTTTGGAGGAGATGTTGTGATGGGCTGCAGGTTTCAGCCTAAATTCTCAAATCCTCATGCTGACCTGAAAGTGACCTGGCACTGGACCAGCCTCCCCTCGGTTCGGGAAGTGTACCGTATGGATAACTGGGATGAGCACTTGGCGTCCCAGGACTATCGGGGTAGGGTGAGGCTTCTCACTGAGGAGCTGCAGGAAGGCTGGGCCAGGTTACAGGTCAGTACTTGCACTGAGGTTATCTCCTTAATTTAATAGATTTTGTTTTTGTTAAACCTCTAGTTTATGAGGGCATAACGTGTAATATGGCCACAAGGACATCTAAGGACTCAATGTTCTTCTTCTGTCACCTAACAGATCTCAAGGCTCAGGATCAATGACTCTGGGACCTACCAGTGTTCGGTACAGACAGCAGAAGGAGCTGATTATAAAGCAATAACTTTGTCCGTTGTAGGTGAGTACCGAGACTGTGAAAGCGCAACAGTGTAACTTTTTAGGTTTTTAGACAAAGACATTGTTCCGGTAATGCTCTTAATCATTGGCCACAGCATGTGGTCATTTCTGGGCAGTCACACCATACCTCAGAATAAAAGTGAAACTAAGACAATTATTACTCAATTTGGTAAAGAATGCTTTTGGATCTTCCCCTTATCACTTGTAACATAGATCACTTGTAACATAATCATAAGATTTTATCATAGTATTATTTTGTAGTAATTACATATTTCTCCCCTAGCACCTTATAACGCAGTGACTAAACGCATTCAGAAGGCTGCAGAGGAGGATGAGTTGCTGCTAACCTGCCAGTCTCGGGGGTACCCCGAGTCCTCTGTTATGTGGCAGGACGGCCACCTGGAAAGACTCAATCCCGATACCACTGTTGTATCAACTGCAGACCAGCTCTTCACAGTCACCAGTCAGATACGCGTCAGATCATCAGACAAAAACAACTACACGTGTTTCTTTACACAAGATGGCAACTCTGCAACATTTCACATTCCAGGTATACATTTTTATTCCCTTTAAGACTTTCTTCCACGACAGGAATTAAAATATTTCTCCAGAGAGAATATTCAAGCACACAGGGTGTTTTTGTGTTGACCATTTCATTGCAACATCTCCAGACAAGGCCAGTGAACTTTATTCCATCTCTCCCTCCTCGTGTATTGTCAGCTCTTGTCTGCTGCCCAAAAAAAATACAAAAAGACAAAATATTTAAATAAGAAGCAAGCAAACAGATAATAGTATGACTGTGTCCAGTGGCGGAATGCTACTAAATACATTTACTCAAGTAATGTACTTAAGTACAAATATACTTTACTTGAATATTTTCATTTAATGCTACTTTGTACTTTTACTCGACTACATGACAGAGGGAAATATTGTACTTTTTATTCTACTACATTTATTTGATAACTTTCGTAGTTACTTTGTAGATTCAGACAATTAATACAAAATATAATCAACCAAAAAATGATTATAGATTATCATAGATATACTGGAAACTACTCAGTAATCAGTTGAAATCAGCCCCACCAAGTGTTGTTTACACAGAATGCACCACTAGCTATCATCCAATAATATCATAAACATTTTTCTGAAATGGGCCATTCTGCATAATTGTTCTAGTATTCTTTTACTTTTGGCACACTTGCTTGTACTTTTACTTAAGTAACATTTTGAATGCAGTACCTTTACTTGTAACACAGTATTGCTACACTGTGGTACTGCTACTTTTACTTAGAGCTGAGTACCTCTTCCACCACTGACTGTGTTCCTCCAACTATTTTGACTTTGGTTTCCCCTCATGACAGCCGCGTTAACAGGAAACAATAATTTGCACACTTATCACTCTACTGCTGTTTCCTGTTATGTTCACATTATCTTTTTTGATAGGAATGTATCTGCTGCCAACCCACACCAAATGTGATTACTATGCTATAACAAAGAGGAGCTATATGAGCCTTTCAGCTCTCGCTCACGGGTTTCCAGAGTGACAACACTGGTTTTCAGTGAAGCTGTAGGAAGTGTTGGGGTTTGAGCTTTGATTCAGCAGTGTGTAGGAGTTCTATTACAGGAGACGTTATCATGTGTGGAAATGTGTGGCTTCTCTGTGTGCGTTTGTGTAGGCTGCTCATGTTTCTGCTTACACAGTATGCTTGCAAAGGATGATTTGCTCTTTTAGATAAAGTACTTTTGAAAGTATCAGGTTATTTTAATGCTAAATAAAGGAAAACAGCCTGTAAATTAAACAGCAAAAAGAAAAAAGTAGCAGAGCTCATCAAAAAAACAAGTACACAAGCATGAGTCAGTTTAAGTGCTGCATTTCTTTTAGTCCCTAACCAGTAAGAGGAAGTTTGCAATGGCTTCGTATTTGATATACTTGGTTATTTCCATATTGGTCAAACATATTAAAAGCACGGGTATAACTCACTCAATGCCAACACATGACCTGGCCCTGTCATTGCTAAAAGTTTTGTTGACAATTTTAACACCAATTCTTCTTCTCTCCTTTCACAGATGAAATTCCTGTTCTAAAAGTAAAAAATGATGCTCTCATCATTGTGTTGAGCATAGGAGTGATACTGGTTGTGATCATCATTGCAGTGCTCATGTACAGACGACGAAAAGGTAACCAGTCACTCAATTCTTTATGTGTACAGCACATTACAGCTGCCCGACAGATTCAGGGTGGGTCGTTTACAACAACCACAGCACACACAATACATAGAAGGCAGGTGTAGATTGGAGACAAAATATCCAAATTATAATACTCTGAGGTCCAATAAACATCAAATGGAAATTTGTGTTTGACGCTGGCATATGAGACAATGCACACCAGGCATGCCAATGCATCACAACTCAACGTGCAGCTATGGTGAAATATTAAAGGGACAAAGTGACAAATGGCAACAATACAAGATTGTTTTTTGCTTTACACCCAATTTAAAAAATAACCTTTAAACAGAACTTTATTGTCCAACCTGAACCTCGACTTACAGTCGTGAAGAATCCATTCGTCAGCGTCCAAAGTGTGTCCTTCCTGTGTCCTTCCTGTGTCCTTCCTGTGTCAAAGCCTTTGCAGCCTCGCTGTGTTTACTTTTTGATTTTGTAAAACAGGCAGAGGAACAACTGTTTCATTTCAACTGAAAAGACAACGCAAGCTCCCATGTTGAGTCAAGTTATTTTTGCCACTGAAATGAGGAAGTATTTGAATATACATTTTAGATGTTAGATTTATCACCTTAATGTTTGCCATTTGGCTACGAGGAAATTTTTACCAGCATGTGACTCGCCTTGCATGTTTTCATGTAAGCATGACTAAGCATTTTGGACCATGTGTCACTTTGGAAACACCCAGGTCGTGATTGTGTGACAGGGGAATATTTATTAATGCGTGGGTAGTTTTTCAGTACAGCCCATTTGTTGTTTCTACAATCCCCCAAAAACAAACACCTACATCATTTCAATAGTCAACTTATTAGACATTTCTCCATATATGAATGTGTGAACATGATAAGTGTTACTTTAGCTACAGGTCCGGAACCATACAGATGGTATTATTAAGATGCTATCAGGTCACAATAAAATAGGTCATGGACACCATTAAAGTCTTAGTTACAAGTGTGTAGGTAAAACAATTAATGTAAGTACAAGAGCATATAAAGTACATAATAAATTGAAGGTTTACAAGAGAAAATACTGTATGAAATTGAGAAAAATGCAATAGCATAAATAAAAAGGTACGCATAAAACAAATTCAAATCCAAAACATTATAATACCATACAAACCAACATGTATCGCCGCTCAAACATTTAGAAAGCTAAGTTGATGCCTTTGAAAGAAAGACTGTCCTGACTTATGTTAACATCATTTTACTAAGCTGCATGAATAAAACTATTTGTATACAGTGCCAAACAAACTTCCACCCGTCCATCTCTTCATACTTAAATACATACAGTACACACATGCAGTACCAACACACTAACTGTTTTTTTCTTCTTTTTTTCTACAGGCTCCAATGCTAATAATACCAGGAACCTTTTGGTCGATGGTCGAGGCAGGTCTGCTTCTGCTGTTGTCTGTGAGTCTAAAGAGTGCTGAACAATTCACTTCACACACACACACACACACACACACACACACACACAACCATTCATGTAATTAATGTAACACACAATAAAGAATGTGTTACAGGCTTGTAATCAGAACAACCAAAGTAGCAGCCATGTTGACAGCAGCAGTCACAGCCACAGAATAAATAAGTTAACTAGCCGAGTTATCTCAACACTGGCTGCAATGATACAGAGGCTGCACCCACTTACGCTGTGGTCACAACCGACGGCTGTAGCCAATACATATTTTAATACCTTAAATAATACAGCTCGGCCTTCTTTTATGGATGAGCGAGGACACAAAATTGACTGCAAAGTAACGTAAAACTTATCACCAGGGATGCGTTTTTAGCAGGGCTTTTAAAGTTTAAAAGCCTTCTAATGCCCCAAAAATGCTGTGCTGCTTGTGACCAGTGTGGAAATCTTAACAAGCCAACAAGCAGACATGAACTGTGCTTTCACAAGAAGAGCTAAAACTCAATTCACTGCATGTCTTCTTAGAAGTTGTACATTACAACGTAAACTTTTAATTTTGCATTGGGATGTATGTGAGTGGATTTACACTACCACACTTTTTGTAGCCTCGTAGAGTCACTGTAGCCACGGTTGAATTACTGACTAATTATTGACACTGATTGATTACTTCTATCAATGTCACTCTCCTCTGTGTTGTTGTTCTGACAAAAGCTTGTTTCTTTCCATCAGGCCTCGAAAAAGATGAAGACAATGAGGAAGAGATAAGCGTGTTTAATGAAGGTAAGTGACTCTAACAACTATAGTTTACATTGTTTATGTTTTTTTCAGTTGATGTATGAAATTATTTTTGACAGTCACAATATCATTATATACAATATTCAGTTCATAACCACATAACAAGCAGCAAAGTTCAGGGTCAAGTTAAGAAGACAAATTCAGTGAGACAACTTCTTCCAGTCTGTGATTATCCTACTGAACTACATTCATGTAAACATTTACTGTAAAACAATTTACTGTAAAAATATCAGCGTATATAACAGCATGCAAAGAAAACATCTAAAGCTTTTTTTCACACTATTTCTTCCATTTCATTAAATGATGCGGATGTCATCACGATCAGGTCTGTTTTTTATTGTCTGCAGTTTCCATGGAGGACAATCTGGGAGTGTTTCTGAGAGCCCACTATTGTGACTTCTCCTTCAGCCCAGAGGTGAGACATCACGGGAATGCTTTTGTTGTGGAGGAGCTGCGTCAAAGGCTGCGAAACAAGTGAGTCATGAACACAAATTTCCACTTAATAAGGTTGCACGACTTCTATGATCGCATTTCCAGTAAAAATCCAAAACCATTAAGTTTGAACTACCCCCTATTCTCTTTGATCAATGACGCTAGCTAGCTTGCTAACTGTTAGTTATCATGCTTATCTGTTGGTAATCTGTCTCGCTAATGGTCTCGTTTACCTTTGTTGATCATATGGAGGCATCAGTACCAACATATTTGTGCTGTTATTTGAGCAAATCCACAGATAGCAGCAATTCTATTGAAATTAATGGATTTTGTAAAATGTCATCGTTGTAAATGTGACCGGGCCTTAATAAGAACTGAAACTTTGTATGTGGAAAACTCCAGTTAACTCAGCTGCTTTACTATTTGTTTGGGTTTGTGTAGTTTATAATCTCAATCCTGCTTGTTTTTTCAGTGAGGGCCAGCCTGTGAATCTTCAAGCTTTACTCCCAGAAGCAGGAGAGACACTTTTCCTTGAGGGACCCCCAGGAAGCGGGAAGACAACCGTAGCCCACATCCTGGTCTCTTGTTGGACTGAGGGGTCCACACATGCCCTCCCTAACCTCCTCGATCTCAGCACCCTTCCACTTCTCTTCTATGTCGACGGCAGCAAAGTGAAGGGTGACCTCTTTCAGGAAATAACAATTCAACTTTCTCTCAAGGAAAAGATATCCACGGAGGATGAGCTAAGGACGGTGTTAACCAGGTCCGGTGAGGCTCTGCTGCTGTTGGATGCGTATAGAGAAGGGAACCAATTTTTCGATGAGTCCTTGAGGAAGTTTCTAAGGGAAAAAGGAGGATGCAGGGTGTTGGTCACGGCCTGCCCGGGACACTGCCCCACACTCAAGGACACGGTTGAGACAGAGAGGGTGCTGCAGCTCCAAACAGTATGATATATGGTCACACATGGTTGTGACTAACAAAGACATTAAGCACTTTTTACATGTTAAACAAACATGTGTGGTTAGATTTTGTATAAACCCAGATATGCTGCGAAATGTGTTGATTTCGATATGTGCTGTAAATACTACTATTACATTCTTTATAGGGCAGCCCTGCAAGTCATTTTGATTAAAAATATTCCATGTACCAATGCTTTTAAAGTTGTTTTTTTTAAGAGAATACATCATTTACCCCTAAGGTGGTAATCCACCTTAGTTTTGTGCTTTTCATGAAACTCCTGAAAGTAGTTTCAGCTACACCATCATACTCTCTGTTTCCGATCTGATACTTCAAACACTTAACTAATGATTGCAGTCGTTTCTGTTTTGTTCTGTGTCAGTCCACGAGAAAAGGAAAGGTCCTTATTAGGGTAATTTGCTATAGTTTGCAAGCAAAGCAGGAACTTTTTCTGTGCACTACGAGTGAAAAGGGAAGTAACTTTATGAGTGTTCCTGGCAGGACAGCTTGCTGATTCCAGTAATATTTGATTACAAATGCTTTTTCTTTCATTTCTGTCTGTCCATTCTCCAGTAATTGGAGCATCTTACCTTATGTCACAAAAGTAACGGGTAAATCCTGATTTGATTCCGATATGTTTTGCTGTGGTATTATGTTTGACTCAGTTTCACCCACGCTTATTCCATTGCACTGGTTCTCTCCAACAACTGCAATGTCAGCTTTCAGGTATCTGTTTAGTGAGGAACCTTTACTGAATGCCTGACTGTGTGTTTTTTGAGTGCAGTCAGCAGTGATCAGCATGTTGTTCTTTCTGTTGTCTCACTCATCAAAACATTACGAACTCAGGTTAAATCAGAAAACCAGTAACTGGGCTGCACTAATCTATATTTCAAGAACAGCACTGGGTCAAATGATGAAAGGTTTTGCTCGTAGTGATGAATCCAATTCTGCAATTCCTTTCAGCTCTGTACCAAGCATCTCAGTTTCTATGATCATCATTCCTGCAGGAGTTGGTGGAGACCAAATACTGAGCTAAAAGGAGATTGAGTATTGGATTTACATTCATTGTGTGGCCACTGAACTTCTGTAAATATCATTATTTACCGTATGTAGAAAAAAGTCCTTCATACTTCAAAGTTTGCCAGACTTAAAAAAACAACAACAGTGAGATTCCCCTGCAAAGAGGAAGAGAAGGCTGAGGTCATAAAACTGAGCATACTCGTGATTAGAAAATGAATATAAAGTATTGATATGTAGGGGTGTTGTGAAAAGAAAACAACCCACAAATATACACATGATCATGTTTCAGTCCTTTGTTTTCAAAAGTGGAGGATTTGCCTCCATCAGCTGTTGCTTTTTGGTTATTTATGGACAACTTCCTCCTACTAATACTCGAGCGCTGCAGAAACTGCTTCTGCATTGTTTTGTTTACCCTGACATTTGCTGCATACATCCCAATATATCCTTTATTCTGCAATCACAGCTGTGATGAATACATTGTCTGACCTTCGTGTTTATTGACGTGAACTGGCGGAAATTAGATGAACAGACACTCTGGGAAGACTTTGTCAGTTGTTTACATAAAGAGGAAAAGAAACTGTCTCATAAAAGAGTAATCGTATAAAATAGCCTATTTTATATTCCAGTGTAATGTTTAGACTGGAAGTTACTGCCCTATTATGTTTCATAACAGGTTCTCTCTTGGCTTAAATCAATACATTGTCATCCTAAATCACAAACACATTTGTCATTATATTGCACCATAATCACAGCTATTTTAACATTATCACAAATGCTATCGGGCTTAGTTAATTCAGGCACAATCTCTTGGTACTGTACATTCTGCAGATTTGAGGATTACAATAAGAAATCTAAATCATGGGAAATACCAAATGTGGTGATATATTTTGGAAATGAAGACAGTTTGGAATATCCTGATAGACGGAAGAGAAGCGGTTTATGGTGCAAGAGTGGTTTGGCAAGCATCTCCAGAAGTTTACATTTTAGTTAGTTTATCTTCACTCACAAATTGAATTAATGACAGCTGCTGTTCTCTGTCAATAAGAAAACAGCCACTTTATACGCATATTGTAGGGGCGTGTTTGCTATTAAAAAGATTCATTTTATTGGTCTCATTTTCAATAGGCAAACAAACTTTCAATTTTAAAACAACATTTTTGCATTTAACAGGTTTAAATGTCCTGTGATGAAATCATTAATGAGTAGTTATTATATATTTTGTTGTTATTCTTACTTAATATATTTAAGCACTATATTTCTTCCATTGCAACAACAAAGAGTGGTGTAGTTTCCCTCCCTGCCTGCATCATAGTTTCACTAGATGGTGCCATCCTCCTTTCCATGCAGCCCCAGAGTGAGGGCTGAACAAGGTGTCTGATCTCAGCGGATTATGAATCCATAAAATTACGTTTTTTTTTATTGAATTTAAGGGTCACAGGGAAAATAATTTAGACACAAAACAAACAAAAAGCTGGTATTTGATAAAAGGGGAGGTTCTTTAGAGGCAACTGTGTCTCTCTTTGGTATCTTTTCTTCTATTTCACTGTCTAGGATTTAATATCTTATTATAATTTATTTTAATGTCTATTTTATTCATTCTTATCCTATCGTATATCCAACATTGTTAGCTCTCAGCCAGGTTAAGTTATTATGTGTGTGCTTGTCTGAATATATCTAACTCTTTTACAGGAGTGTCCTGCATGGCCGACACATACCGTAGCAGCACATGAACATTTGAGTGAAGCTTTCAACGCTTTTCTTTTCATACTCTTTTGTCTCCCACTTAAAGATCATTCTCTTTCAGGCAGAGACAAATGTATCAATTAACTATTCTGTGCCCCAAAAAAAACTGCTTCGTCCAGCTGTCCAAGATATTCTCATCATCTATTCAATCTGAGAAAAATGCTTCCCCCTGAAACTCAACACCCCGACATAGCTATTTCTATACCCCATCACCCACTCCTACCTCCCAGCAGCACCACACACACACACACACACACACACACACACTCAAAATGAGAGTCAACCCCATCAAAAAGGATGGTCTCCGACATACAAGGCCCCCAATTCCTCCTTCAACGTCAACCTCCCAGACCAAAGCGGCGGTTTCATCATTTGGTAATTAATATTCTCGGGAAGAAGAGAGCATCGGGAAACAATTATTCAATAATGTATGGATGTAAATGCATGTGTGCGCACACAAAAAACACATGCACGCACAAATGCATATATATCACCGTGATCGACTCTTTCTCTCTTCCAAGATCAGGTCACTACATGGAACACAACTGGAGTGAATGTAATGGATGTGCTCGATGGAGGGTGAAAGCTTGCATGCTATAAATACATGTAAAGAACGTCTAAATGCCTTGTTGTTGAAAGGTGCCATGCAAATATATAAACTTGCCTTACCTAGATTACATGTACTACACTGTACATCTGTACTGTACAGATACAGTAAAAAGTAAGTGCATATACATGTATTATTTAAATTCAAAAGCAGACAAATTGGTCAATTTCCTATTTCTATGCTCAAAATTGGCTGAGATAGATTTCAAGGTAGCTTTGTGGTTAGATCCCTATTGCAGATAAATCACAGGTTTGATCCCCACAACAGCTTTATGTCCCACTAAAATGGCACTAAACCCACACATACTAAGCCACTAAAGCGCTAAAAAAGCATAAATGTAAGTATAATCTAATTCCAGATGATTTATTTCTTCACCACCGAGTACGGTGGCGAGGAGGATGGGGCATGACGGGGTGGCGATGTGTTGATCAAGGATGCCACACTTGTTGTCATTGGAGTCTAACGCACGACTCCAGTCTGTATCCATATAGTCTTCGCCGGCTCTGAACAAGTCTGTCTGGTAATTGGGATCAGATGAGTGGCAGCGAAAGCGAGGCGACCTGGGTTCTCCGGGACCCACGCTAACCTGGAAGCATTTATTTTATGGAAAAGATGTTTAGTTAAAGTGCAGCGCTGCAGCCTGCAGCCCAGCCCCTCTAATGACTCTCCAGCTCTCTTGCCTGGGCCTGGAGACAGAGCCCTGTGATGGATATGACTGGTGAAACAGGGACACACACACACACACACACATGCTTCCATCACCGTGCACTGTGATGGATATGACTGGTGAAAGCTCTGAACACTGCTTCCTGAGTCCTTCACTTCCTTCCTCCCAGGCCTCGGTCAGCCAAGCTGAGCCGGGTTTCACTAGACTCGGGCCGGATTGGATTGCAGATTAACTGGCTTCCTGTCCAATCCGTTGGTTGCGTTCATCTGCTTTCCTAACGGTCACTTTTATTTATGAGCAAGCGGTGACGTTATTGAGGATGAATGAGTCTCTTCAGGATGGATGAGATCCTAGAGGGGGTTGTGGATTTGCAGAGGGCCATTCTTGTTTAGAATGGTAGTGTGGAAAGAATTTAAGAAGGCTATTAACAATGACTCAATAACCAAAAACAATAGGTCTGTACGTCTATGTAGACGTGCCCATGCATGCTTTTCCTGATATTCAACAGCCTCCACCCCTCGTCATTTGTGCAGTGTATTTTTCTCTTCTGCAGCACATTGCAGCTGAATTTTGTTGATGCAGTTATTGCACTGCAAAAATCCACATATGACCAAGTCATTTTTGTCTATTATTGAGCCCTGAAAGTCTTATTTTATGAGTACAATTATTCTGCCAGTGTGGGGAGATATTCCAGTACAAATAAACCAAAAATAATATTTTTTTCTTGGTTCTAGTGCAGCCATCTGCCTAATTCTGTCTTGTTCCAATAAACTCACTTGGATTTGTATTGGAAACAATTAAAACTAATCCCTCTGCAATAGCAGATTAAAAAAAAAGAATACTTTCACTGTATGAAAACATGACTTTCTACCTGAATAAAAGAAAGAAAAAAAGAGATCTTTGCAAGGGCTAACGGTGATTTTATTTCTTGCTTCTGAATCAACTTCACTAAAACTAATATTATGAATAATTGTTTTTTAACAACAAAAAGTAAGGATATTATTTTCTGAAAATACTGTACAGATGTAGATTCTATGTAAAAACATGTATGTAAAAAGGGCATGCCAGATTATCTTACTTATCTGCCTTTTTGTTCTCTCCAAATAAGACTTGGCTGAGAACTTCAGTATTTAAGTTCTGAGACGTAGAGATATATTTGTAAATTGGGTCCATTGTCATATCCTTCACCATCCCATCACTGCAGGGCTCCAACACCACCCACCCCAAACCTCTCATCATCCTCCCTCCCTTCCTCCCTCTCTCCTGCTGGCAGCCCTTGATTACACTTGTCTCCTGGGGGAAGGTTTAAACTCCTCAGAGATAGTAATATCGAGGGCACTACTGGCTAGTCACTTCAGATCAGGACGGGGGGAGGAAATGGCGACGGACATAAAGCTAAATATATAATTCCTCCCATGCCGGTAATCACGATGTCCAGACGATTTGAATTGACAGTTTAACCACTTTAGACTGAGGAACGCTTTGTTCAGATTTGAGCAGCAGGAGGTGTGTGTGCTGGAGCGTCTGGTTGCTCCCTACGATGGTTGGGGAGCCTCCTCGTGGGTGTAGAGGCTATCCAAAGGGGCCCGTGTGGTCCTCTCTAAATGCACGTTTGGGGGGAAAAGAGCCCACGTTCCACAGAGTTAAAATGGCTCGCAGACCAGACAGGAGCAATTCTGTGAATGACTGACGTGCCAAGAGCTCCGGAAGGAAACACTCTCAGCGCCCGGTATTAGTTCACCTGATTATTAGGATATCCAGCTTCCTCCTAAAATGGGCGGCTATTTCCCTGTTAGAGGCAGTAAGAGCACCCACCTGGATTAGGCCTAAACGTGGTCTGCATTACACCAGGCGCAACAAGGCCTCATGCCACACAGCTCAACCAATTACATCTATAAATATTAATAGGCTAATCTGCACATATTCTTTTCCTGTGAGCCTGTTACCACATCCCCGAAAGGGTCAGAGATACTCTTACGAACATCAAATCCATTAAAAATGTTTCTTCAATTTGCATATGCCGAGATTGTCGCTCCAGACAAGGCTCTCTCGATGTCTTCCCCCCCCCCCCATCATCACACCGCAAGAGGAGAGTGCATTTCGTATTCACGCGCTGATTGGATCCTTGATGAGATCTTCAGGGTGGCTTCACTCACTCTTACACTCCAGAGGTGATGAGAAGAGGGAGAGGTGTGTGTGTGTGTGTGTGTGTGTGTGTGTGTGGGGGGGGGGTCTGTCCAATTCGGTCTACACTGAAGTGGTCGGCTCAGTTGCCGCCCGGCTCCACAGCAGTTCAGCTGCTGCAGGAGCACCGCGGCTTGACGTTCAGAGTGTAATCACAGGCGGCACAAAGGGAAGACAGAACACAGAGAGGAATCATATATATATATAAATATATATATACACATTGTTTTTCTTCTTTCATACACACAGTGGTGGCTATACGATATAATGTAGGTCTTTTTGGAAAACTAGTATTAGACCATGATATCGAGCTTCTCTTAAAACACATGAATAATGCAACGCAGAAATCTGCATGAAAAGTAGGGGAACTGAGAAGTAGAACAATGCTAAGAGGGGAAGAATGAAGTAAGATGGAGGGACTGAGATTAAGAGCAACACTCGAGGGATTTTCATTATTTTTCCAATACGAGTTTAAATTGTACTATTCCATGACTGCGTCTGATATTTGTGCTTTCTGGAAAGAGGGATAAAATTGAATTAAGTAAGTGCTATGCAACACTCATATTCAAAAATTCCCATTTGATGATTTAAAGTGAGACGATGCAACTTTTGAAAGAAGAAATCATTCAAGAATTCTTCCTCTTACAAATGAAAACCTGAATTCATAAGAACTAAAACAGACTCTTGCCCAATTTAGTTCACTCTGGAGTTTTGCTGCTTCAGCCTCACTTGGTCTGGTATATGACCTGTACTAATTTAGCAAACTTTAGTTATATTTTGCCTTATAACTAACATTACTGATAATGGACTCTTCTCTACCTGTGCCATGGCTATATTACATTGTAGTCACCTAAAAATGTAACCGTTACAGTCGTCTTTGCGGCTGATAAGCAAGAGTTGCTAAGTATTGCTTTGATATATTTGAACGTCACATTTGCATTTGTGTCCTGCAAGAATCAGACGAGTGCTTTTTTGGTAGAATACAACTTTATAAAGAGCTTGTTGTGAGTAGAAGCTGTACGTTGTAACTGGTTATCTTTCCTTAAATGCACCAGCAACCTATAGAAGGCTAGACTAACCAATCAAACATTTACTGAGCTAATTCAGACTTGTATATTTTTGTGAGGAATCGCCAAAGGACGCACCAGAACTTCCACAAAGACAAAACTCTATTGCTTTCATACTAGCACAAAGCACGCATATGCACACGCACACACACAGTGAAAAGGCGGTGCTAGTAGGAGTAGTAAACATCTGAAAGGAACAGGGTAATTCACTTGATAAATGTCAACCAAAATGAAGCTATCAGCTGAAAGCAATTTCCTTGTGCTCGCCTGTGTTCTGCGCCAGGGACTTGGGAGATTTTCACCCCTCCATCGATCATGAAGCCTCTGTTTTAGGCCAAGGTACACAATGCCCTCAAATTGCTGACATATGGACCCAGAATCACCACAAAAACCTGCCATTTCCACCCCACCCCTCCTCTGTCCCGACTCAGCCACTCCTCCGCTAAACTCTTGTTTATCCAACGACTCCGGTCTGTTTAGGCCATTAAAGCAAAGCCGTCCAGGGAGACGGAGGGCCGAGGCAAATGTAATAACGCCACAATGTGTAGCGTGCAACCAAGCGCTGCTGCTACCACCAAAACACCAAAAAAAAAACAAGAAATCTGCATTGTCACGATTCCTCAATTTATTTTGTCCATTTAAAAGAGGTCGGACAGCATTTTGACTAAGATTGAATTGGTAGTTTACAATGTTGCAGCGCTGTGTGGGACCAGTAGCAGAGGAAGCATGAAAAAACATGATAAAGAGTAAGACACCGATCACATAAGAGTGCAGTAAAGCCTCTGGCTGGTGTAAACAGCGGATAGATGAAAGCACAGCCATGTGTGTGTGTGTGTGTGTGTGTGTGTGTGTAGCTCAGTAGGTTTACCATTCATGCATTTCTTGTTATTGATCCACTTCGAACAACTGCTACAATTCTTGACCGTGGCTTTAAAAGTGCAGCTGTTGAAAGACAAAGAGGGCCAAGTGCACAACATTAAAAGCCTCTTTCCCTAATGGGCAATTGTGGTGCCAGCAGTCAGGACCTGGAGGTCTGTACACAGGAAAGGTCCATTATCACTCTGACTAATGGAGGAGGGGGTGACTTCAAACCAAAAAGTGGAGAAAAAGAAAAGAAAACAAGAGAGAGACAGATGACGCACATGGTACAAAGTTTCTTTAATGGAGTCCATCAATAATGTTACTTTCCCCGACTTTATTGTCGAGAGAGCAGCCGTATTATCAATCCTAGACATGGGCCCAAATTAAAGGCTTTTTTTACTCAAGCGCATTCTTTAACAGACTTTGAATCAATGTGAAACAAATGTTTGGCAACACGCTAATCATATCCTCCGTCTCTGGAACAAACCCTCTCTCTCCCCTTCTCTTGCCACCAAGACAAACCTGCAGCCAGTTTACACTCAGACGGGTGCGCTTGTTTTACGTAAACAGACAGCCCTTGTGGCAAGGCGTTTGATTAGGAGGAGGCTTACAAATCCCATTAAAAGTCCATTCGTCCCTCGCTCGGTGTTTGTTTTGAAGACAGGAAGAGCAACGAGGGAGGAGGGAGATGACTGGCAGTCTGTCGTTGTTGTTGTTTCCGTGCCAATTTCTGTTTATGTACCGACGGTTAAACACGGATATCGCCCAGCAGCGAGGAGCAGATCTTTGCCAGCGTTGCGGGCCCAGAACCGAAAGCCCAGTTTCTGCCAAAACATGGACAACAGAACCGAGACTCATTGGTCTGTGTGAAGCTTGTGGACTGTGAGAACGGGATGCAAGAACGACCGAATGAGTACCTGTTTATTATAAAGACGATAGGGTTGAAATGTTGCTTCTGTTAAGTGTGTACATCTGTAGGTTCAGCTATAACCAAAATATCAAAAAGGAGACTTCTTAATCGTCAGTCAGCCTAACAGCTCCTTGGTCTTGGCTGCAAGCTGTTTGTCAATGTCCACTGCAATGTTGTCCGCCATCTGCTGAATCTGTGAAGGGGAAAAGGAAAAATGAATAATACACCTTTTTGGGCTCACTTTAGTGTCTGTTTGGAAAAGGATGCCATTAATAGCTAAACTAAACTATCAGTTACCTCTTTGACTCTCTGTTTTGTGCCTCATCTCTTCTCATCTATAGCCGCTCATCTCAACATTAAACTTCCCTTCGTCAGTGTGATCTATCAATTAAGAGGCTTTACGTGTAGCTCCACTGTCACCCACCTGTTTTTCCACAAGTCGTATGGTGTCCTCCGAGTGTGCTTCCTTCGTCTTTTTGACCTGTGTGACAGCAGTAGATCGCACTTTCCTCAGGGAATCTTTCGCCTTGTTGCCGAACTGTTTGGCCAGCTTGGCGAGGTTCTCTCTGTACTCCCGCGTCACTCTGCAGGGGGGGGAGGAACGTATGGTAACAGAGAAGGAAAACAAAAAACAGAGCAGGTGAGATTCCCTGGGATACTAGGAAATGGATTATACCAAGCAAGGCTCCACACACACACACACACACACACACACACACACACACACACACACACACACACACACACACACACACACACACACACACACACACACACTAGGCCAACAATTTAAAATAACTTCAAACTGCACACGGAGACCGAAAAGAAAGGGTTAGTCAAACACACTGTGCACAGACAAAATAATGAAAAAAACAATGTCCTCACTTGTGCAAATGAGGACGTTAAGTGCTCGTAAGCATGAAGTCTAATAATTTTAGTTCAGACTCGTAAGCAACCAACTAACAACAATCAGTTGCCGAGGTCTCAGACTCGAGCGAAACATCCGTCATCCCAACAACTTTGTATTCACTTTGCGATTGTTAATCACTCAGAAAATCCTACTTCCCATTTCACTCTCCCTCTTTGTCCTTAATTGACTATTTTTTTCGTTGTTTTTGCCTTTGGGACTATTTGCAAACAATCCAAGTGCGGCGTCTATTTACCACAAACAATACGGCCTAATTACTGATTCCAGGGCCAATCAAGGAGCGCCTTCTCTTTGGAAATGCAAATGGAGGCTTGGAGCGTGCCGAGACTGATTGCAGGGGGAAAGCAGTCTGACTCTTGTGTCCCTCCTCTGCCAGACTAACACCTGCTGCTCAACGTGCGCACGCACACGCACACGCACACACACACACACACACATATATAAACACAGGGCGGCATTTATACATGTATACTTACATGCACATGTGTGTATATGTAAAAAACATACTGTATATACACACAGAGGGGTTTAGTGAGTGAGGGATGGATAGTTTTTTGTGAGCTTGTTTGACTTGGCAGACAGAAAAAGAGAGTGTGAGAGAGAAAGGTCTAGTCGGAACAGAGAGAGAGAGAGAGTGACCCGACCCTCACATCAACACACCGGGGGTCTCCATACATCTACTAACAAAAGTCCATAAATCTCTCGGTTAAAGAGAATTATTAATGGCGATACATTCAGACTTACTGCAAGTTTTAGGTTTATGATCATTTACAGTACGTATTGATTATTTCATCTATCTATTGGTCACTTATTTACTCTATAAAAACACAAAAATGTCAACTGCTTGTCACAGATTAACAGAGCATAAAAACGAGTCTTAAAAATGATCTATTTCGTCAAATAACTTTATAATGAATTTAGTAAAAAAAAACCACTTCAATTAACATCGTGTCAATTGAGTAATATATTGTTCAGATCACCTTATTGTTTCAGGGCTCGTACTTACGATATGTCTCAGTGTATAATAATGGTGGGCGTGGGAAAACAGAGGAATGACAGAAGAAAAGTAAAAGGTGTAAAGAGAAGATTGAAAAGCAGGAAAGTGTTCCTGCCCTTGGGGCTGTGTGTGTGTGTGTGTGTGTGTGTGTGCGTGTTTGAGAGACTCACTTGGGAACGGGCACCTTGATGATCGTCCCGTCCACCTCTGGGTTAAGGTTCATGCTACTCTCTCTTAGGGCGCGGGTGGCAGCCGCTGTAGCCTGGGGCACAAACACAAAACACACACGCACACGCACACGCACACACATGAATGTGTGCTTGCGGCGAGCACTGGTGTGAATCGAAAAGCAGCGCTACAACTGCAGGTAGTGGCCCAGCTCCAGCTGGCAATAATTAAAGTGTTGTGTTGTGTTTGCAGTGTGTGTATCTGGGTGGGGTGTGTGTGTGTGTGTGGTGTGTGTTTGTGTGTGTGTGTGTGTGTGTGTGTGTCTGGGGAAGCCCTTGCAGTGTGGAAGTGCCTTGGGCCACTGTCAGCGCTCGGCCCTCTGGGACAGGACTGAGAGGTTGCAGGGCAGGGCGTTGACCCACGGTGATCTCACAGGAGAGTCTGCTTGTGCTTGTGTATGATACATGGACACACACACGCACACACACACGCACACGCACACATGTGCTTCTGAGTTTGTATGTGTTCCCTTTTAATCCTCTATTTGCACATTTAACAGCAGCTAATTGCTTGTTGATGAAGATGGGAAATGGTCATTATCTTGAGGTGAGCACATGTACATATCTTCACTTTAACTAAAGAGTACACGTAAACACTTTTCTTGTGTTGTGGTCAGATTTTGCATGTGGCCAGCTCATTACCTTATGTGGGTTTGAAAGGGAGGTCTCTACTGGGTTCAACCAATTTGGTGGGAAGGCAGAAATCAACACATTCGGTGGTTAGAGACATTCAGGCTACACATGTTGAAAGACATCGATACGTTATGGTCTTTAGGCAGCCGCCATGATTGTGACACTTTAACATGGTTGAGGGGCAACTATGTTGCATCCAATTGCTACAGTTGGATGAACAACCCATTGAGCGATGCTAGCAGTAGCGTTATTAGTACTGGCCATGAGTCAGTTATGCTACTGCCTTAGTAGGCCTTTTTTAATGTCATAGCAGGAAAAGCACAGGTGTAAATAATCAAATTAAAGACGGCTGAACTTCATTTTGGTGCTTCAGTTTGTACATTCGATTCCATAAAAATCTGGCATTATCCTGCACGACACTGTATGTAGTGTCGCTGTAGAAAGAAATCTTGGTGTAAATGCAAACTAGCCATTTTCTTGATAAATTAAACATTTCTGATCCGTGCTGGGAAACCACATCACAGAACAGGACAGTTGTTTATTTGGGACAAAACTACAAAACATCCGCAAAATATGTCTTTCGTCAAATGTTTTCGAAAATGGTTTATTGAAAAAGATGAAAAAAAAGAATTGCAAGTAATATTTCCCAAAGACAATCTGTTTTCTTTTTAAAGGAAGAAGAAGAAAAACAAAGCATTGTGTGTTTTGTGGCGGAAACAAGTGATCCCGACAAACACAGGATCAGACAAAGATGAGATTCTGAGAAGCGTTGGTCTGCAGTCCCACAATACTTTGACTTAAGTTCATTAATATCGTGGCTTCTTTGGAATGTTATTTTAAAGTGTAATTATATTTGTTTGGCAGGCCAGCAGGCAGAAAAAGAAGCTTTGCATGTGACTCAATGGTAAATACTAAAAACAGCATTCACATATGTGAACCATAAAAACTTGATCCACCATATACAACACAGTCCAGCAAATACTACATTAGAACCAGATAGCTACAGTGAAACGGTGCATACAGACAAGGGGGGAGGAATCCAAACCCTTGGAATTACTGAAAACAAAGTCACACTCCTCAAACAAATTCTGCAACCGCATGACAATTCCCTCAGCTGAGCTTCACAAAGTGTGCAAATGTGTAACGCGAGGATTTAGAACATATAGGTTGTTTTTTTTTTTAACCCCCTTTCTACTCTACTCTCCTTTCTTGACAGCTCCTTCTGGCCTGATCCGCCGGGGAAAAGAAATGGCAGTGAGATTAAAGGAATTTATTTGTGCGCATTAAATTAATTCATGAGGTTTCTTTCCGTTTCCTTTGTCAAAGTCATACGGAGCACAGGCCCTCTGGTTGCTCTCTTTGAGTGTGGGGTGATAGATTCAGCCCATACCTATGTTTGATTGTTCTCAGCATCAAATTCATCACCGTTTCCTCTCTCCCGACGACCGCTCCGGCGGTTCACGGAAAAACCGAGGGGAATTTCTCTGAAAAAAGTCCGGGCCGGTTCTGGTTAATGTGTTGGAGAGGAAGAGAAATTACACTGGAGTTTAACATCAAACGCTTGACGGCGCGGTTCAAAGCAAAGAGGCGGGCGGAGAGGAATGTGTGCGAGAGTCCGCGTGTGCGCTCGTGTTTGAATAGGGAGTCCTGAAGAAAACACTTTATGAACAAAGTGGTGGGATGCTTAAACATGCGCATACACACTCAGCCTAAAACACACACCAAATTGCCCCGTGATCTAAGCATGCTAGTAGTTGTTGTTGTTAGTTCCACTGTGCCTTCCCAGGCTGCTCTTAATGAATGAATGGAAAACAATGGTAGGGCCTCTGGAGTGCCTGGTAATGGATAGGCATCATTATAAGCCTATTAGCTCTGGGTACTGAGGGCTCACCTCTGTGTGGGACATGGGTAACGTTGGGCACGACAGGGTAGTGTGCGTGCACATGAATGCGTCTGCCGGTGTGTGTGTGTGTGTGTGGTCTGTGGTTGGAATAGACTCACTGAAAGACCATTCAGCCTGAATTTACAGATTTGAGATACTGATACATACTTAGATTTGCATGTTGTTTTGTGATATCAGCAAGAAAGCGAACAAAGATGCGAAGCCACAGTTTTCAGGTTCACAAGGTGACCGGTAGGAAAATAAAAGGTGGTTGTAGCAGACAGGTGGTTCTCCAAAGGAACAAACCGCCTTTGAATGTAATTTATGTCGGCAGTGGGGCTGTAGGGGTGGCAGTGTCGGTCGGTAGGTTGGTATGCCACTTTGGGTTCAGACCGAAACTGAAAACTCGTGACTTTTCCTCAACAATGAGGTGGACATATGTGGTTTTGAGTGAAATATCTCAACAACTATTGGATTTGCCATTACATCTGGTACGCACACTCACACTCCCCTCAGGAGGAATTGTAATACCAGATACAATGATAGAATGCTTACGTGCGAAACCAAGATATACCTGCTTAACGTCAGCATAGTGTACTTGTACTGTATGCATTTGTTTTATTACTGTAATCACTTATTTTATACTGTACTCTTGGCCGCTCTCTGAGTGGCTGTACTTGTACCTGTACATGCAAGCAGCACTTGTAAGCAGGTATCATTCATAATTCCTATTGATCAGAACTTGTTACACGATATAGAACTGTTCCTGTCAAGTAAATGTTATTGAACTTTGCTTACAGTTGCATCTCTTGAGAAGAGGAGCAGATACAGTTGTGTGAAAAAGTGTTTGCCCCCTTCCTGATTTCTTATTTTTTTGCATGTTTGTCACACTTAAATGTTTCAGATCATCAAACAAATTTAAATATTAGACAAAGGTAACACAAGTAAACACAAAATGCAGTTTTTAAATGAAGGTTTTTATTATTAAGGGGGAAAAAAAAATCCAAACCTACATGGCCCTGTGTAAAGTAATTGAGATCTATCAGTCTGGAAAAGGTTACAAAGCCATTTCTAAAGCTTTGGGACTCCAGCGAACCACAGTGAGAGCCATTATCCACAAATGGCGAAAACATGGAACAGTGGTGAACCTTCCCAGGAGTGGCCGGCCGACCAAAATTACCCCAAGAGCGCAGCGACGACTCATCCAAGAGGTCACAAAAGACCCCAGAACAACATCCAAAGAACTGCAGGCCTCACTTGCCTCAATTAAGGTCAGTGTTCATGACTCCACCATAAGAAAGAGACTGGGCAAAAATGGCCTGCAAGGCAGAGTTCCAAGACGAAAACCACTGCTGAGCAAAAAGAACATAAAGGCTCGTCTCAGTTTTGCCAGAAAACGTCTTGATGATCCCCAAGACTTTTGGGAAAATACTCTGTGGACTGACGAGACAAAAGTTGAACTTTTTGGAAGGTGTCTGTCCCATTACATCTGGCGTAAAAGTAACACGGCATTTCAGAAAAGGAACATCATACCAACAGTAAAATATGGTGGTGGTAGTGTGATGGTCTGGGGCTGTTTTGCTGCTTCAGGACCTGGAAGACTTGCTGTGGTAAATGGAACCATGAATTCTGCTGTCTACCAAAAAATCCCGAAGGAGAATGTCCGGCCATCTGTTCGTGACCTCAAGCTGAAGCGCACTTGGGTTCTGCAGCAGGACAATGATCCAAAACACACCAGCAAGTCCACCTCTGAATGGCTTAAGAAAAACAAAATGAAAACTTTGGAGTGGCCTAGTCAAAGTCCCGACCTGAATCCGATTGAGATGCTGTGACATGACCTTAAAAAGGCGGTTCATGCTCGAAAACCCTCCAATGTGGCTGAATTACAACAATTCTGCAAAGATGAGTGGGCCAAAATTCCTCTACAGCTCTGTAAAAGACTCATTGCCAGTTATCGCAAACGCTTGATTGCAGTTGTTGCTGCTAAGGGTGGCCCAACCAGTTATTAGGTTTAGGGGGCAATCACTTTTTCACACAGGGCCATGTAGGTTTGGATTTTTTTTCCCCCTTAATAATAAAAACCTTCATTTAAAAACTGCATTTTGTGTTTACTTGTGTTATCTTTGTCTAATATTTAAATTTGTTTGATGATCTGAAACATTTAAGTGTGACAAACATGCAAAAAAATAAGAAATCAGGAAGGGGGCAAACACTTTTGCACACAACTGTATATATATATATATATTTATTTTAAACAAAGCACCATATAGCTGTATTGTTCATTAGCTCAATGGCTAATAAGACCTAAGAGAACTAAATCCCCAGTGATGGCCGTCTGCGTATGAATATGATTGCATAAGGTTGATTCTCAAGACCACCAGAGAGTCGGGCCATTGAAAATGTAAGTTGCCCCTGTGGATAATATTTATTTCTGGAGCTCTGAATAGCACAGTGTTGTATCATTAAGAAGGAAAAGAGGGAAAGAAAAGGCAGTAAAAAGAAAAGAAGAAAAATAATCCATTCCTTCCTAACCTGGGGGTAAAATGAGGTCATTTCCTACTCTGACAACTCGTACGCAGACATAACCACATCTCAGTGCACGCTCACACAGAGTTTGGGTTCATGTTGCTATCTTTCACCCCAGAACAAAGGGCTCCCCGAGTGATCAATCAATTAGCATGTGAGACACAGTTGGAGAGAAAGAGGCAGGTCAGGTTTCATTTATACAGAGAGTTCTGGTCTGGCTCACTTTTCCTCCTGTGAGGACCGTCTATCTGTCTGCGCTTTGGATTATTTTCATAAAGCTTTTGGTTACCCGTGTGCTTGTGTGCGTGAGACACACAGATGCAGGTCGGAGGACTCTGTACGTGTGTGTCCTCCGTGTTTGTTTGTGTGGTCGTCTTACCTCTGGGAAGCTGCTCATGTTGACCATAATGAGCTGAGGGGATTTCATGGAGACCTGTCCCAGCTGGTTGAGAGGGAACTTTCCATCTTGGGTCGTCACCACAATGTGATCCAGAGCTCCTGAACAAACGCAGATAAACGCTATTGTCCATTTACTTAATTCATTGAAGCATTTCGACAATTCAAGGCGTCATTGTAAACAATACTGTCACACTGATTTTGCGCATATGAATGAATATATGAATCTCATATCATATCTACTTTTACGTTCATTTTTGACAATAAAGTTTATTGTTTGTGTGCAAAATATCTCTCTGTACTCTAAGACATGTCTTTCTCACACAGTGCTTGTTTAAATCATGTGTTTATGTAAAACAAAGGAAAATTAAACAAAAATATTGTTTATCAGATTTGTTTTATTCTCATAGATCAAAATTATAAAATCTAGTATTGGAGAGGCTGTGGTGAATAAAATAGCTTTTCTGGTTTGATGACACAGTTTCCATGCAGACTGACTCTGTGTTTTCTTTATATCTAATCAGACAGATTTACAAACAGACAGACGGACGGACGGATGTGCAGCAGAAGCCACAAACTGCATGAGTAAAGAAAAAAAAACCGAGACCACTGTAACAGTGTTAAGAGTTTCCATGATCTACTGTCTGTCCTCACTGTCAACACTGAGGAACAAAGATAAGTTTGCCAACATTAGCCGACTTCTGTTCAGTCCCTCGCGCCCTCTCTCCCTCTTTACTCCTCCACTCCATCCATCCGCCCCTCTCCTCCATCTGGCTAACCTCAGACGCAGTTGTTTCCTCCTTCTCCACCTCTGCCTTACATCACTCGCTCCCTGCTTACCCACTGCAAGCTGTGCTGGTAGAGTGTGTGGAAAAGAGGAGGGGGGGGGGGGGGTGGTGGGGTTGAAGGGGAGGTGAGCCAATGGTGTAAGTTTAAAAATCAATGAATCATATGATTTCAAGAGCAAAAAAACATCGATGTACCAGTCGGAGATTAGACGCAAAATAAAAAAGCTGTGATGAAATAGATACCTTTAGTTTAAACTGGATTCCTGACATGCCGTCTACCTGCCTGCCAATTATTCTGTCTCCCTCTTTGATGTCAAACGTTCATCTGTGTGCAGCTCTGAACCGGCCTGTCTGTCACACAGCGCCTCCGTTTGTATACACGGACCGCTCATGTCCATATCTGTGACCTTCTGCCTGTCCGTCTTTGTTACCTGTGCCTCGACAATGAGCTCCTACACATCTGTGAATACTTTGGGAGGGCAGACAGACAATCATTTCTTGGACTACAACGGTGGAGTGTGAGGAGGGGTACGGGGGCTGAGAGAGAAGAGGAAGAAGAGGATGGCAGAGAAAACAGTTGCCAAATTGTTCTTTATCCAAGTATTACTAATACTGATAATATAATACACACAATATCAAATAAATAAATGGAAAATATGCTTTTATATGTGCACTAAACATTTGTTTGCCATTCATCTTAAACATGCCACATTATGTGTAAACTTTATATACTAGGCATGTAGTTAATAAAATCAATATTATCCTTCAGACTGAGATGAATGCTCATCAACACCATCAATTGCATTCTGTGCAGTTGTTTGGTCTGCTACAGAGCTTGAATGACATTGTAACGAGCTGTGAACACAGTTGATATGATGAACTTGTTGGTGAACAGCTGCTGATTTTCCCATCAAGGAGTTATGGAGGAACATTTTCCTTCATTTGGGAGTGGTGTTTCTGGCCACCTGGTAACTGTGAGACCAACATTCACTCTGCAATTAAGTTTTGCTCACCAACTTCTACGGGTAATATCTGTCTCTTCAGCAGCCAGATGCTCCACTGTGGTCATTATGTTTGCTAACTTTGTCCGTCTGTTGTTTGGTGCTGGATAGGTAGCGTACAGTGGGTTTAAAAAAAAAAACAACGCCAAGACAAGAGTGTGGAGCTTTAAATTTAACAGAATGAATTTAGTTTAATTTCAGGGGTCTCAATTAACTCCCTAAAGAAAGTGCATTTACCAAAATGTCAAGCTATTCCTTTAAGTACCAACAGCTCTTATCTTCAGGACAACCTGTTGGCACCTGAAGCCATTTTAAATTACTTCGAGGTAGTTTTGTCCCAGTACAGTCCACCCTGTATTGACAAAGTTTCCATGGAAACAGAGCTTGTTTTCGGGCCATCTTTACCCATCTGTGACTAACCACAACGTGGCGGTCCCAGCATTGACCCCTTCTCTCTGCATCTATCTACGACTTTCTGCTACACGTTTGCCACACGCAAACAAACGCATGCACACATACAGTAGGGATTCACGGTAACACACACACCGGCACATACAGTCACATCCACACACACACACACATGTACTCATAAGCTTAATGAGAGCCAGATGAGAAGTTCATGGAACAAACACACACACACACACACACACACACATGAGCACACATTTGGACAACTGACGTCATGCCATTCCACCATCTCATCTCTCCTGTCAGCTTTTAAGTCCTGCTGCCTCCCTGGATTACTGTGCAGCTGGACAGAAGAGAGGAGGACGGATGGAGTGGAGGACAGCGGTGCGTGGATGGAGAGATGGAGCAAGAATGACAGGATGGAGGCAGAAATGACAAGAGAAACAGGAGGACGGAAAAGATGGAGGGAACTCTTGCCCTGTAGGTCAAGAACAAATTTGCATTCAAAAGTATAAAGACACAGATTGAAAATATCCTTTGAGCGGGGGCCAAAAAAATAAAGCGGTTTGAAAAACTGAATAGAAAAGTAAGTAATGGAGGGATATAAAGGGAGGGGCTGAAGAGAGAAAATGACTCATACCAAGACATTTCTGGATGATGAGTGGAGAGCGAAAAAAAGCTGATGGGACGATAAGGAATGGAGGGATAAATGAATAAAGGACAATGAAACATGTTGAGGGTATCTGCAAGACAAGACATTGAGATGTTAACCATAAAAATCAAGGTTGTGTTCATGCCTCCGTTGTTTAACTCTCCTGCATGTTGGTGTGGACTTAAACAAGACTGCACATGCTGCAGATCAAATGTCAGAGAAAGCACACCTTCATCTGAGGAGGAAAAGCTCAGAGACGCTTTAAATGTGAAGTCTCATTCTTGCGGCTGCCTCGTCCCTCGGGAGCTTCCATTATACACCCCACCTCTGACTACGCCGAGCCCAGCTCCCATTTGTTACAACCCAGAGGCAAAAAGGGTCGTGACCTGGATGTAGTTGGGGAAACCGAGGTCAAACTGGAGTCAAGGTAAAGTCACACTGGGGCTCACTCTCTGGCCTCGGGCGCTTTGTCAGGTAGATGCAAGTTGAAAAATAAAAACTGCACAAAAAAAACAAAACTGTCAATGGACAAGTCATGTGTGTGTATCAAATTAAAAGCAGAAATAAAAAAAATACGTATAGCCCCATAGGTGACAACTGCGTGTTTAGAAGTATCTTGTGGATGTCCGTTACGTCATGGCCGTCCATCCAGATACAGAATTATATACGGTTAACTCAGGACTAGGACAGAGGACGTGGACGTGTCGAGAAGAAGAGAAGCCCTGTTTGTAGATGCTACTGAAAAAGCATTCTTTGGAAAAACTGGATTCAAACATTGGATTGGCTCTGGGTAAACATTTGATCATTCTGGTTGGACTGCAGACATCCATTAGATCACTGACATACCTCTGCAGATTAAATCTGCTGTTGAACAATTTATAGAAATAGCCGTACGTGGTATGATGTTAAATTTACTGCATTTGTTCTATTGTTGTTTTCTTCTTTGAACCCTGTTATTAACAATAAAAGGAAATAGAAAGCTTAGCAACTAAATTAAACACTCATGTGTTTCACAACACTGTTGTTGCTCTTATTATCCCGCCATTTATCTCCACCCCTCAGCGTTACATCCGATGAATACCCGGCACTATTAGACAGCTGTTTTTGTGTTAACTTTCATCGTTTGTTTGTTTTTCTTCTGCAAAGTTTAAGAAAGAAAGTAATGTAATCAGACACAGATGGATAAAAAGAGAGGGAGAGAAAGACTCAGAGACAAGCTGAATACCTGGCGAGGTTCGGATGCTGAGGTTGCGTGTGAAGTCGTCTTTGAGCGCATTGAGAACAGCTGTCATGTCCCCCTTCACTTCATCCAGACTGATGATGTCTTCCACCAGAGCCACATTAATATTCACCTTCGCTGACTGGCCCTTTGCCTTGGCTTGGAAGATGAAGAGAGGGAAAGAGGCAAATCACTGTGGGAAGAGGGACGACTCGTATCTAAGATAGATCATATCGAATCACGTAACCCACATCCGTGCCAACGGAGGTTGAACACATGCGAACTCCAGTCTGCGCAATCTCCTCACTGACCTTTTGCCTTCTTCGTGGCGTAGAGCCTCTTGCATGCAGCAGGGTGGATGGTGGTGTTGGGGTGCAGTAGTGGTTCACTGACCCTGGAGGTGGCCACGAGGGGAGACCTGACCTGTCGCAACAGGGACTGACACAGCAGAGGCCGCAGCCGACTCAGGTGATTCATAGCCATAGCTGAAAGAGAAAGAAAGGGGGACATTAAAAAAAAGGACTAAATAACAAAAAAATTATGTTAGAGGTAGTATACGAACACAATGCCACTGAGTTTGAAATAACATAATTTCATAAAATCTGAATAATAAATTGTACACAGATCAGTTGAAGGCAGCACTGGTCCACTGATCATAATGAAGTAATAGCTCATAACAGCCAGTAGGAGGTAGGCCTACCTCTAGTGCTGACATTAAAGCTCCATCGTCTAGTTTTCTCTTGACAACTATATGATAAAAAAATGGAATAAAAAGAGCAAACAATAGAGTTAAACCTGTGAATGCTATGTTTGTTTTTTTTTGCAACGTCAGCCATATATCTTTGCAAAGTACAGTATAAGAAGTTCAGTACCATGTAAATTTACAAGTACATTCAAATAATAATAAATTCACAGTAGGCATTTTGGCATGTCATCGATGTAATAACACAGACGTAAATAATAAGGGATTCCAGTGAGCCAATATGCAGAATACCCGGGCCCTGGCCACATAAATGGAACAGGGCAATAATTAGTGTTATTAATTACACCTGCGTTAACCCTGCAATCACATGTGAAAACGGCTGGAGGTTAAAGGGCCTATTGTGCTTCCTGGTTCACTGATCTGACTTACTTGAAGGCTCGATGGAATGGAGCCATCGTTAACATAATTTGTTTCACCGGTGCTTTTCCTGCTACGACAAGTCTAAATCACTGCTGTTGAAGAACCTTCAGCCGTACAGGTTACATTACATGCAATTACACTTTGGGTCACAAACATGCTCGCTGTCTCCGTCTTGCACACAATGTCTACTCTCGGCACAGTTGTTTGGGCATTCCTGAGGGGGAAACCTCCCATTCAGAAATGTCACAATATCAGACCGACCGTTCCTTTTCTATTAAAAACAACCACCTCCCACCGCGCACACATGGCTCTCGATTGTGAACCGTGTCACTGAACCTCGGAGTACACAAGCACAGACAAACTCTCGAGGTATCCGAGCCCACAGACACAAACATAAAGCCCGTCTTTCACAGTCAGTGGCTGTGAAGAGCTCTGCAGCCTGACTGGCATCCTCTATATTGTCTGGTGTGTATTTATAGCTGGAAGCTGCGAGGAGAAACAAACCGCTGCATTAAAGACAATTTGGTTACGCGAGTAGAACTTTACCAAATGCGTGACCTGTTTTCAGTTGGGAGCAATATGTAAAAAAAGTCAAACTAAATCTACATGACTCACAACTGAAGACTAAATGCTCTAAAATATATTATAAAATGTATTTGTTCTTCACTGGACATAAATATTGTTTGCATAAAAAAGCAAATAAAGACCTCTCACTGTACGTTATATATGTCCAAACACCCCCTTGCAAAACCCACCAACCAACATGTTCGATGTAAAAGTTTAGGAATATTTTTCACATTTACTTATTCTTCTAACTGTTAGATTATAATTGTTGGTTCCCTAAATTCTGTTTCAAAGATGCTAAGAATATAATACTAAATCACTTAATTTTATCAAAATGTAAATTGATTTTGAAATGCGTTTACAAATATGTCAGAATCAGCCTTAACCCAATGTGTGTCTTTTTTGTGTATTTGTAGATTTTAAACTGCTCCTGGATTCACTGAAAGCCCAAAAATCCCAGACACAATACTGATCTTAGTGTCCTCAATATGCCACAAGTCCCTGGTGTTAATCCAGATATGAACCAAAATCCAAACATATCCCAAAGGCAATATTTAGGCTAGATTGTGGACCACCACCTACAATACAAACAAACCCAAAGCGGGGCATCTGCAGCTGACAGGTTTCCTGATGCGCTGATATGATACGGCGCACAGTGGCAGAGCAGATAGGCTCACATGTGGGACGGTGACGGATCTCTTTACAGTGGAAGTCAAGCAGAAGAAGTGAAGCACAGGTGTTCAGTGGGATACTGTAGCCTCAGATCCTGTAGATTCCCCACACAGCAGCTGCAGACACACCTCTCCTTCATCCAGTGGCAGAAGACAGCTGGTGGGCCCGCATGATCTCTCCTCTGCACACTTTACAGTTTGAGCAGAAAATAATACACCAGAGTATCGGATGATGTTCCGCCTCCTAAACCTCTCCAGTTAATTGATTAACTGTCATAATGGTATCAACTTCAGCAGCCTTTTTTATCACAGTGCAGGCTTCTGAGTGGAACATAAACGGGGCCATTTCTGAGATATATATATGTATATATATATATATATATATACATACATACATACATACATACATATCGATGTCTGGGTACTTCATGCTATACAGTTCATGCAAGTGGCACCACCAGGTTGATTTTGTGCTGTTTTTTTGTAACTGGTACTCGAGTAAAGCAGAAAACACGAGGTACTATAAACGTACCAACAGTAGCGTGCGTAGTACGTTTACAGTAAGATAAATGACTGGTCCCAGACTCCCAGCACTCTATGTAGCCTAAGAAAAACAGTGTGAAGGTCGCTGGGATGGGGGCGTGCATGCAGCCCTTCGTCGCCTTCTTCTGCACAAACCACGGGCAAATACTAAACATAAAACGCAATCACGTAGTATTAAACATAACACTGCCGTTCATTTCAGCAACAACCCGGTAAAACCCAACCTTCACCTGAAGAAAATGACCCCAAACAATACACGTACTTACTTTACAGCATGTTAGCTAGGGAAAAAGCCACATTTGACATCTATGTCGTCATCATCAGGCACCGACACTTTGGAACGTCCGGTTTTGTGCTCGAAACGTCACGCGGGGTGGCCCGAGTAGGCGGGGTTACTGCCTGAAACGTCAAACCTAGGCGAGGAGAGAGATACGGGACATACCAAGAGTAAAATCGAGTCTCTCCTCTCGACTCCACACACAGTTAAACAAATCACGACATCACTCTGCGCCTTTGTTGTGAGACGTTAGCAAGGCGACTGTTTATCCTTCGAGCTAGCTAACCTGCTCAGTTTAACAGGAGGAAAACATACACATCGCTTGAGATGATTAATATTACGTTTTGACGTAACTGAATTATCCCGAAGTGGGATCCGTAGTAAATTCAGTTTAAGAAGTCAGTCGCTATCAAAGAGGAAGTTTGACAGATCGAGGAGGTAAAGTGATACAATCTAAGCTATCTAACTGATAGCATCCCACACTTCTGTTAACTGTTTAGTGGATATATGTTGCTTTTCTTTATCATATTGACGTCTGAATGACCGAGATTGGTTTAACTTTAACGTAACACGATCGTTTTAACCAGCAAATGCGTACAACGCGTGGATAGTAGTCAATCGATCCACCTGCGTTTAGCTAAGCTATCGTTAGCTCGTAGCAAGTCAACGTTTCCCAAGAGAAGCCCCTAAATAATAGTTATTCTTTCTTTATTATTTTCTAAGAATTAGGTGTTTGACACACAGTGAATAAAAGTAACGTACCTACATAATTTAGATATCTAGTTTGATATCTAAATTATAGCAAAATGTACACTAGAGAAAATGTATGTTGACAGTGGGCTGACATTTGTTTAACGTTAAACTGGGTCTCAAATGTGTTTGACCACTATCTCCTCACAGCTTTACACATGTAACGTTATACATAAATCATATTTACAATGAGCGCACTGGTTGGCATTGATGCTACGACATAGCATTTGGTGAAACTTCAAACAATACCTCATTAACTGTAAAAAACCTGAAGTGAACTGACAAATTGGCTTTTTAATTAATTGAAATAAAGTAAATATAATTGCCTGTGAATAAGCTCTCAATTACAGTTGATGTTGAATGTGGTTGAAACATACAGGTCAAATGGGTGGACATATCTTTTCTGATAACTTCTCTTCATTTTCCAGATGCCTTCTGATCAATCATTTAAGCCACGGTGCTCAGAGAGATATAGTTAGTACGGCATAGTTTAATATGTTTTTAGTCCTCCAATTAACAGCTTAGTTTTCTGCCTTGCTCAAGACTGCTGGGTATCTGACACAAATGCTAAAAAGTCAACTCATCTCTGCCTTTCTTTGTAAACTTAATTTCTCTGTCTTCTATTCCTGTCTCCCACAGAGTACACATGTCTTCTGCGGCAGAGACAGTGAAAAATGCCTCCATCATGTCAGAGAGTGCCCATGACGGAAACCGCTTGTGGATAGGCAACATTGATCCCAAAATTACAGAGTGAGTAAATCCGCTACTGGTTTCAGACAGGCTCACACTCTTTTCGACAGTGTGTTGCATCAGATTAGATTAGAGCAAACTAGTCCTCACATGTTAAGAGATTAAAAGTTATTGGAACTGAAAAAAGCAGATCTGTATTTCACTACAAAGGTACACATTTCCAGATTCAAACGTATGATCCAGCCAGCTGAATGAAAAACAAGGTTCGTTTTGGATTTTAGCAGCAACAAGTGTTGGATTTGAGGTTCTTGTAAATCGGCCCATGTTATGAACCTGAGGTATTGCTTTTTAACTTGCCAGGCTCTACCTCATGGAGAGGCAATGCATTGTGTGTGCATATATGATTGATTAACTGTGTGTGTGTGTGTCGCAGGCTGAGACTGAGCAGACAGGGCTGGGTGTGTGAAAGAGAGGCAGTGAGGCGTGGAGACCTGCTCTGCTAAGGAGCAGCCATCATTCCTCACTCACCTGCCCTGTTTACTCTCTCTGTGTCAACCTGGAGCTGACTCTGTGTGTGTGTGTGTGTGTGTGCGTGTGTGTAAGCATGTTTAAATACACAGTTGATGTTTGGGTGGCAGCTGGTGGTGGCTTCAACACTGAGGTGTCTGTGTGTACAGTATTAGCGTGTCTCATTTTCACAACACCGTATGTACATGCAAACCTTCCATTGTTGCATTTCTGTGTGCAGTTGAGTGTCTAAATGTGCAAAACACCTAATGTGAGTGTGGAGAGCACCCTTACATATATTGTGATGGAGAGAAGGTGTTTTTTCGGGGTGAGGGGGTGTGTTGGTGTGCCTGTGGGGGATGCTGGAGAATGTATGGGCTGCAGCTCTGGTGGGCGTCTAGACAGGCGTTTCCTTCCCCTTTCCCTGCTCTGCTCTACCTCTCCTTCAATAGCTCACTACCCCACAGTATGGAGGGAAAACCAGAGAAATGCCCATGGCCCCTGGTGCTGATTGGGAAGATTAATTAGCTCCTGGGTAGCGTATGTAGTACTCGCTCTGTTTGTCCCGGTAAACCAAACCAAAACTCAGTGCAGAAGTGGAGCGCTGACCTGAAATGCAAGGTGCTGATTATGAGTACATGACGCCATGAATATTAATAAGACTTTGTATATTCTGGAAGAGCTTTTTTGGTAATTAAAAACAGAAAATTGTGTACTACCACTTAGTTGCTTTATTTGTTTCTTTGAAGACATGTGTTGTCTATTTTGAGGCATAAATGGTTAATTTGAACATACAGCAGTGTAAAAATTTATTTTTCCTTATCCAGAAAACTGCCTATATAGAGTAACACTTGAATAAGTATTTGCTGAAAGGTTATAATGGAATTCTTACTTCATAGTGCCAAAAATACAAAAGCTACCGCAGCTTTAAATGCCTTCTTTTAATATAATTGCAATATTTTTGAATATTATTGTCGTGCTTTGCCTCATTTGCTGATCAGAGTTTCTGCTCTGGTTGGTCCGGGTGAAATATTCGATCGATAAGGATGTGATGAGGTAAGAAGGCTGCACTTAAATCATTAGGCCATTGTGTCCTCCGTCAGAAAGAAAGATTTTGGAGCGTGTGTGTAGTTGTGGTTGTGACGGATCTCATATTTTTCTTAGAAGGATATTATATTCATGTCGGGCTCATAGCTTGTGCAAAAATGTATTCCAAGCTTGTGATTTAAAAAAATGATCTGGACTTTCTTCTTCTTCCATCTCAGACTCTCCCTTTTTACCCCTGTGTCTGTGCAGGTAGCAACTCTGTTCAGAGAACAACTCTAATGTTCTCATGTCCCTTTAAATGCTCAGTAAAAAAGAAAGGACCAGTCAGTAGTCACACACTTTTAACTCTTCTCGGAGGTTAGATGAGCATCAGCAGTAAGTCTGATATCCTTTGCCCTGCGCACAGACACAGCAGGTGTAACTGGAGCTTTCAGCACATATTCATGTTTTGTGCTTTTGGCGGCTCAGAGAGGGAATTTCTCATGAGTGGTAATCCATCACCGTCTCCCTCTTTGCTCTCTCTCTGGTCCTCTTGTTACATTTTAAGTTGCGTACCTGGAAGTTGTCATGACGTTTTATTAAAGAACTTACAACTATGACCTTAGTCTTACTGCAGGCCTAGATTTTTTTATGAAAGTATGCAGAAATTGCAGATAGTTGCCTTGCCAGAAAGTCTAAACTTACCCACTCTACCTTTTCCCCCTTCTGACCTACTATGCATCCAACCTTTTGTCTTATCTTTTTCTGGACTGGACTCACATCCCCCCGTTTCACTTCCTTCCTCGTCTTTGCCTTCCATGCTCTCCCTACCTGGGCTGCTCACCTCCTCTCTTCTTTTGGCTTCTCCTCCTGTTCCTCCACCTTTCACCTCGCCGTCAACATCCCCTCTATGAACTTTACTCTCCCAGTCTCCCCACCTTTCCCTCCCTTTCCTCCCCCTCTCCTCCTCTTCCTCCGGTGGTTTTTACAGCCCCCAGGAGGAGCGGTCCATTGTGGTTCAGCTTACGAGCATCCAAAAAAAAAATGTTCTTGGAGTGTCAGCCATCTAATCTCGCTCACATTTACACGTATGCACAAACATCCAGCATACACTTATCTAAATATATAACAATACTAAAATGATGGCATTACGTTTCAGTATTTTTGCATTTGACTTAAATGACGGCCTTTCTCCTCTCCTGATCAGTGTTTCAGAGGTGCACATGCAAACTATTTGAGTAAAAGAGTGCAGAATAATGTCATAAGTAATATGATAAACTTTAATTTAATATCGTATTTTCTTTCTAAATAAGTACTGCTGGAGGAGCCACCTTCACATGGGAGGCATGCAGGGTGTTGTCTGGGAAAAGCAGAAATTCAGTTTGACCGAAAGCCCCCCAGGGAGTCATAGAAGGGTGGAAGACATTACAACAACCTGTAGCTAAGACGCACAATTCACCCTCAGTGTCCCACATTGAGTTCCATCCTCTTTGTGGACACACACGCACACACACACACACACACACGCACGCACTCACAAACCAATTCAGAATTACAAATAACAATCAACCAAACAATAAAAGGCACTTATACAAAACACATGGGGTCACTGTGAGGATTGGAAAGTCACACAAGGTAAAGGCTCCGAAACAATAACACAGGAAAGTGTTTGTTGATTTCTTTTGTTTGTGCATTTTCAGTTTTGGTTTTGTTCTTGGTCTTTATGGTTTGATAGAAGAAACGTTGACATGTCACAGCAGGAAAACCACAATTTTACATGATGAAATTGACTGACTTTCTTTTAGCGGCTTCAGTTTCAGGGTCCTGGTGTTGTGCCTGCTGGCTCACTGTCACAGTGTGAAGACTCACGGCGACACTTGAATAGAACAGAACCATCGTCAAAGATGTATTCAGATCCTTTACTTTAAGTAACAGTACTGATACCACACTGTGAAAATACTCAAGTTAACTACAAGTTAAGGTCCTTCATTCAAAACCTTAAGTGAAAGTATGCAAGTATTATCAGCAAAATGTACTTAAAGTATCAAAAGTACAGTAGTAGTAGTAGTCAGTGTTTTACTTTTATTTATGATGCTTTTGGATTAATATTACTGTTAATGTAAATGTTGTATTTTGCATGTGCTAATTTGAAATATTTTTGAAATATTTAGTTTAACTCAAGAAGTAGGAGAATTTTCTCAACCCACATAGGACAAAAATATCACGTTTATTGTTTTGAATTCTCAGTACCTCAAGAACATAAAGTACTTCACAGGTGTTTTCAATGACTAATCAATCAGCAGGACGCTGTGTACTGCTATTGAACTTGTTAGTTGCAGCCTTGCCGTAGTCTGTCAGAAGGGAGAACAAGCCTCATACGGTCCTCTATTCTGCATATTACTCATATGAATCCTATTATACACAAGAGCTTTGACAAGTCATGAAATGGAAAAGCACCTGCTGCTCAGCATGAATTGGAAACATTCACTCAGCACCTTGGTATTTACAGTAATATAGCAGTGAATATCGTCGACAGGAGGCCCTGAACTCACACTGTCGGAAGACTTTTTTTTTTTTTTTTTTTCCATGGCTGCCAGAGGTCGGTTACACGCAAACCTACAAATCCTCACACTCCGCATAGCTCTACAGTGACAACATCTCTGTGTTCATTCCTGGTCCGGCGGTCCCAGGCAGCTCTGCGCAGCGAGTGGATGTTGTTCGTGCAGAGCTCGGTGCTCAGGGGAGATTTGAGGCTTCCTCTTTTTTATTCCCTCATTGTCCTGCTACTGTATCCTCAGCATTGTCTCACTGAGAGATTTACTGTCACTGGGCTGCCACACCAGCTGCTAAAAAGGTGTCAGTGAGAGAAGGCTGTCGTTCTCATTAGCCCCGCTTGACAGATTCACAGACCGCAGGTTGGCGAATGCGGTGTGCCGCAGATCTACGTGGCTAGCTCATACGGTTGAACTACAATATACTGTGTAGTGCATTTTGTTATGTAAGATTAGAGTAGTTTCAGTTCGATATCTTACTAAATAAAAGCTTTAGTTCTTTTAAAATAATCCTTTACAGAGCAGATACTAAGAATAAACATAATTTAATGTCCTGCTGTATGTTCTCATGACTCCTTTAGGTATCACCTGGTGAAGTTGTTGGAGAAGTTTGGCAATGTGAAACAGTTTGACTTCCTGTTTCATAAGTCTGGGCCTTTGGAGGGACAGCCACGGGGTTACTGCTTTGTCAACTTCAACACCAGAGAGGTATGTGTGCGTTTTTATGTTTTAGACGATTTATATTCATATATGTTGTACAGTATTATTCTCATTTTGCTACAGTATGAATAGTATACAGGATATAAACTCATAGTACAAACTCGGATGTGTCAAACACCAGGTTTCCTAGTATGCCAATTTGTTTGTTACAAAAACATCATGGTACATGTGTCAAGAAACGTGTTATTTGAAGTGAAACTAAATCTAATTTTCATTGATACAATTCCACAATCTGTCAATGATTGGCAGTTAAACTGATATTGGCTCGATGCAGATATTGCATTTTTAAAGAACATTTGAGTCAATGATGATGGTATGCCAGGCAGCAGGGAGTATTTGTTTCGGAGTGAGCCTGGGGATCGTGATAAGCATCTTGTTTCACAGCTAGTGTCCATCAGTGGGATATGAAGCCCTCCCTAAAGGATTATACAGAGGAAGTGTGTGTTTACCTTACACTCTCACACACACTTAGACAGTCGTGCACACACTCAGAAAAAGTACTTCATTAATATAATTTAGCATCAAATCCACTTACTCATTTGATTAGACAAAACTACATTTAGTCGCACTGCCTCTCAAACACACAAAAGAGACGCATACACACACACACGCACACATCAGTTAAGGTCTATCTGCAGGCAGAGTGTGATATTATCATCTCTCCATTGGGGAAACTAATTATTTAAGGACTCGGGTGCAATCATAAAGGCTGGTTTTTAAATGATATTTGCAAAAAATGTGTTTCTCTCTCTTTTCCTCTTCTCTCTGTGTGTGTGTGTGTGTGTGTGTGTGTGTGTGTGTGTGTGTGTGTGT